TCTATTTTACCCAAACTCCACCAGAGTCCACATTTGGACATATTGAGTGTTCATGCCAAGTTTGGTCCAGATCCATCCTTGTTTGAGTCCACAGTGCTCTCTGGATTTATGTGAACTGCAACTCCCAAACTCAAGGCCAATGTCCACCAAGCCATTCTAGCATTTTCTGTTGGTCATGGGATTTCTGTGTGGCCAGGTCTGATTCAATTCCATCGTTGGTGGAGTTCAGAAAGCTCTTTGATCATAGGTGAACTATAAATCCCAGCAACTACAGCTCTCAAATGACAACATCAATCTTCTCCAACCCCACCAGTATTCAAATTTGGGCGTATTGGGTATTTGTGCCAAATTTGGTCCAGTGAATGAAAATCCATCCTGCTTATCAGATATTTACATTACGATTCATAACAGTAGTGAAATCACAGTTATGAAGTAGCAACAAAAAGAACATGGCCCTATAGAACATGGCCCTATAGCCCGAAAAAACCTACAAGAACCTAATGTTATGGTTGGGGGTCACCACAACATAAGGAACTGTATTAAGGGGTCGTGACATTAGGTAGGTTGAGAACCACTGTACTATACTATATTACTATTGTGATATAGTATCTAAGTATCTATAAGTATCTAGTATCTAAGTATCTATAAGTACTATAATATATTGTATTATTATCCTACTATACTATATTACTAGTGCGATATAGTATCTAAGTATAGTATAGTATAGTATAGTATGTGTGTGTGTATATATATATATATATATATATATATATATATATATATATATACTATATATAGTATATAGTATTTTAGTAGCTAAGAGTCTAATTTGGAACTTTAGTTATATTATTCATTATTATTTTTCTACTATAATAATATTGTACTATTATTGTTATCCTACTATACTATATTATTATTGTGTTACTATTTATCTTAGTAGCTAAGAGTCTAATCTGGAACTTTAGTTATATTATTCATTATTATTATTATCCTACTATAATATATTGTATTATTATCCTACTATACTATATTACTATTGTGATATTACTGTGTTACTATGTATCTTAGTAGCTAAGAGTCTAATTTGGAATTTTAGTTATATTATTCATTATTATTTTTCTACTATAATAATATTGTACTATTATTATTATCCTACTATACTATATTATTATTGTGTTATTATTGTGTTACTATGTATCTTAGTAGCTAAGAATCTAATCTGGAACTTTAGTTATATTATTCATTATTATTATCCTACTATAATAATGTTATATTATTATTATTATTCTATATTATATTACTGTTCTGTTATTACTGTGTTACTATGTATCTTAGTAGCTAAGAGTCTAATCTGGACCTTTAGTTGTGTGTCAATGCTCACCAGGCAGGACCTTCCCTATCTGCTCAACTGTTGATCTAAATCACTGCTTCGTAATACTGTATTATATTACTTTAATGTTAGATTATTATTATCATGGAGCCCGCAGTGGGTTAAGCTGCTGAACTTGCTTACCAGAAGATCGGAGCTTGGAATCTGGGAGTGGTGTGAGCTCCCGCTGTTAGCTCCAGCTTCTGCCAACCTAGCAGTTCGAAAACATTCAAAGTTTTTTTATTATTATTATATATTCCTTTTACCCTATTATGATATATTGTATTATTATCCCACCATGCTATATTATTATTGTGTTATTATGTGTCTTAGTATCTAAGAGTCTAATCTGGAACTTTAGTTGTGTGTCAATGCTCGCCAGGCAGGACCTTCCTTATCTGCTCGACCGTTGATCTAAATCACTGCTTCATAATACTGTATTATATTATTTTAAAGTATTATTATATCCTATTATGATGTTTTATATGATTATTATCCTACCATACTATATTATTATTGTGTTATTATGTATATTAGTATCTAAGAGTCTAATCTGGAACTTTAGTTCTATTATTATTCATATTTATTATCCTACTATAATATATTGTATTATTATTACTATCCTACTATACTATATTATTATTGTGTTATTATGTATCTAATCTGGAACTTTAGTTGTGTGATCGCCGATGCTCGCCAGGCAGGACCTTCCTTATCTGCTCCACCGTTGATCTAAATCACTGCTTCAAAATACTGTATTATATTGTTTTAAAGTTTTATTATTATTATATATTACTTTTATATATTGTATTATTATCCTACCATATTATATTATTATTGTGTTGTTATTGTGTTACTATGTATTTTAGTAACTAAGAGTCTAATCTGTAGTTTTAGTTATTTTATTTTTCATTATTATTATTATCCTACTATAATAATATTGTATTATTATTATCCTACCATACTATATTATTATTGTGTTATTAATGTGTTATTAATAACACAATAATACTGTATTATATTATTTTAAAGTTACATTATTATAATATATATTATTATTATTATCCTATTATGATATATTGTATTATTATCCTACCATACTATATTATTATTGTGTTATTAAGGTGTTATTATGTATCTTACTCTCTAAGAGTCTAATCTGGAACTTTAGTTGTGTGATCGTCAATGCTCGCCAGGCAGGACCTTCCTTATCTGCTCAACTGTTGATCTAAATCACTGCTTCAAAATACTGTATTATATTGTTTTAAAGCTTTATTATTATTATATATTACTTTTATATATTGTATTATTATCCTACCATATTATATTATTATTGTGTTGTTATTGTGTTACTATGTAGTTTAGTAACTAAGAGTCTAATCTGTAGTTTTAGTTATTTTATTCTTCATTATTATTATTATCCTACTATAATAATATTGTATTATTATTATCCTACCATACTATATTATTATTGTGTTATTAATGTGTTATTAATAACACAATAATACAGTATTATATTATTTTAAAGTTACATTATTA